TTGAGATGCCGAGCGTGGACATTGAGGGCCCAGAGGGGAAGATCAAAGGTCCCAAGTTCAAGATGCCCGAGATGCACATCAAAGCACCCAAAATCTCCATGCCTGACCTCGACGTGAACCTGAAGGGCCCAAAAGTCAAGGGGGGTGTCGATGTTTCTGTCCCCAAAGTGGAGGGTGAGCTGAAGGGTCCGGATGTGAATGTGAAAGGTCCGAAGTTGGATGTGGATGTTCCTGAGTTGGATGTTGAAGGTCCCGAGGGGAAGTGGAAGGGACCCAAGTTCAAGATGCCAGAGATGAACATCAAAGCGCCAAAATTTTCTCTGCCTGATGTTGACCTGAACCTAAAAGGTCCCAAACTGAAGGGAGAAGTGGGAGTGTCTGCCCCAAAAATTGAAGGTGATGTGAAAGTGCCGGATCTGGAGTTGAAAGGCCCCAAAGTGGATGTGGAGGTCCCCGACGTGGAGCTGGAGATGCCCGAGGGGAAGATCAAAGGCCCCAAATTCAAGATGCCCGAGATGCACATCAAAGCCCCCAAAATCTCCATGCCCGACTTTGATCTGAACCTGAAAGGCCCCAAACTGAAGGGAGACGTGGATGTGTCTGCCCCAACAATCGAGGGAGATTTGAAGGCCCCAGATGTCGACATCAAAGGCCCCAAAGTTGATGTCAACCTCCCCGACATGGACCTGGAGTGCCCTGAGGCGAAGCTGAAGGGCCCCAAGTTCAAGATGCCCGAGATGCATTTCAAAACTCCCAAAATCTCCATGCCCGACATCGATCTGAACCTGAAAGGCCCAAAACTCAAGGGGGACGTCGACGTTTCTGCCCCCAAACTGGAAGGTGACCTGAAAGGTCCTGAACTGGACATCAAAGGGCCCAAACTGGACATCGAAGCTCCTGATGTGGACATTGATCTCCCAGAGGGGAAGGTGAAGGGCCCCAAGTTCAAGATGCCCGAGATGCATTTCAAGGCCCCCAAAATCTCTATGCCCGACTTTGATCTGAACCTGAAGGGCCCCAAAGTCAAGGGGGACGTCGGTGTGGCTTTACCAAAGCTCGAAGGGGACCTGAAGGGCACGGAGATGGAATTGAAAGCACCAAAGGTGGATGTCGAAGTTCCTGACGTGGAGCTGGAGTGTCCAGAGGGGAAAGTGAAGGGCCCTAAGTTCAAGATGCCCGAGATGCACATCAAGGCCCCAAAAATCTCTATGCCCGACTTTGATCTCAACCTGAAAGGCCCTAAATTAAAGGGTGATGTCGATGTTTCTGTCCCCAAGCTGGAAGGGGACCTGAAGGGCCCTGAATTGGACATCAAAGGCCCCAAAGTCGATGTCAACCTCCCCGATGTGGAACTGGAGTGTCCTCAGGGGAAACTGAAAGGCCCCAACTTCAAGATGCCAGAAATGCACATCAAAGCCCCCAAAATCTCCATGCCCGACATCGACCTGAACCTGAAGGGCCCCAAATTGAAGGGAGATGTCGATGTCTCTCTTCCCAAGGTCGAGGGTGACCTGAAAGCTCCAGACATCGACATCAAAGGGCCCAAAGTCAATGTTGATCTCCCCGATGTGGAGTTGGAAGGGCCTGAGGGGAAGATCAAAGGCCCCAAGTTCAAGATGCCCGAGATGCATATCAAGGCCCCCAAAATCTCCATGCCCGATGTCAACTTTGGCCTGAAGGGCCCCAAGGTCAAGGGTGACGTGGATGTGTCGGTTCCAAAGCTGGAGGGCCCAGAACTGGACATCAAAGGCCCCAAAGTGGACATTGATGTGCCAGACGTTGACATTCATGGGCCTGAGGGAAAATTCAAGATGCCCAAATTCAAGATGCCCAAATTTGGTCTGAAGGGAGAAGGCCC